GGCTGCGCTGCCCGGGCCGTTGATTGGGCAGTGATGGGCGAGGGCGGGCAGCAGGCGGCAGCAGAGAGCCGCGGGCCCGGGCAGCGAGTGCGGCACCAGCGCGGCTGTGGCGGGGAGCGCCGGGCCCGGGCTGCCTGCTCCGGGCAAACTGGGGCAATGGGGAGAATTACCCTGCTGAAAACCTAGAGAATGGGTCTGCCTTTGCCACCCAGATGGCATGTGTCCCTAAATAGTTGTGCTGTGGTGGAAGGTTTTCCCTGTCCCCCTGATATGCASTGCTAACCTAAGGGAGAAAGAACAAAAAGGTCAAAGACAGAACTGATGTTTCCTGCGGCTCCCAGATTTTTGCATGGTAGGAACTCTGTGGGACTCAGTTCCACAGAGATGGTACCCAAAGTGCAGCTTGCTGTTTCCTGCCAGTTCCAGAGATACCAGGTAGGCAGAGGGAGGAAAGTGTGCCAAGACCAGATAGGAAACATGCAGCACAATAACTGGTTGCTGTGGCACAATATGATTTTACTGCTTTAGTCTTTRCCTGTGCTGGAAGTACTTTGGGAGTTGAGTCCTCTGGTGTGCAGAGCCCCTTAATGTATGAGGCTTGGACTCTGTCACTGCCAGTGATCAGCAAGGATTTCAGGCAGGATTTAAACTGCACAAGCAAGGACGAACTGTGGAAGTTACAAGTGTAGGAACTATTCTAGAAACCAGATATGACAGAGTGTCAGAGTCCTTCTTATGCTGTGCATCTAACCACCATAGATAGTCAGCTGTCAAGTCATTACATACCTTGAACCTGAAGGACCTGAGATATATCAAATCCTTGGCTAATTCTGACAATAATTACACCGAGCTCAAAATCAAAGGCATCACTGGAAAGAAAGAAAGAAASAGTAAATATGGTTTTGCATAATGCATGTTGATGGGGAAAGCTACTTTGAAAAGATTGRTGAAAGTGTTCACAGGGAGGACAGACTAGGTAAAATTGCAGAAGGAATTKCCCCAGATAAATTTGTAGTACTTATCTTCCCTCCTTTAAAAAAAGGGTATGATTGGACATGGGAACAGACCAACTATTTCTGGTCTTCCAGACAGCACTTTTCTAGAAACTTGGTTGCCATAGGGTAATTTTTTTTCTCGTTTTACTGAGGAAATTACAAAGCTGATGTGGGGTTTGTTGCTCTGTAACTTGCTTCAGCTTTACAAATGAATTTTGGGCAAGCATCTATGAGAAGCCTGTTTCTAAATGACTGTTTCCTAGCTAAATCCCAACTCACAGAGCTGCTGAGCCTTAGGCACACATGAGATTTGAAGCAAAGCTCTTCCTCTGTCTCCTAGGCTTAAAATAAGAATTCCATGATGCTCTCTTATTCCCTTAGTATGTACAGTAGGGTTGTTTTTCTCTGAGCTTCTGCCCACTAAAAAATGGGAAAATACAGTTCTGCAAAAATACTGCTAACAGCAGTGCAGCTTCAGCATTGTCAAGCCACATCAGCTCTGATGGTGCCAGGTATTTGCTAAGCAGATCCTACGAGGTCTGGGAAGCCAATGAGCTTCTTCTGATGGGCCATAACTTCTGCTACAGAGCTAGGATGTGTGAGCCCAGGTTTGTAGGTTTTACCTTACAGCATTTCTATACATCAGGTTCTGTATGGAAATSCTGTATTAATCTGTCTAAGAGGAGTGAAAAAGGAGATGCCAAGCTGACTTACTGTATAATGCCCACGTAGTTTTCAACTTGTGTGGCAGGTGCACTTTTCCAGTCTTTCTTAAATCCAATCACCAGGGTGTTTGGTTTCATTCTACCCAAGCCCGAGGCCTGACAATATTAAAACACTGCTTGAGAAAGGTACACATATATGCTTTTATTGTAAATGAAAAGTAATGGCAAAAGATAATTGAAGTAGTGTTCTGGAGACACTTACAACTAGATTGCATTTCATAAATGCCCTTCATGCTCATACCCATGCAGAAAGCAGAAAGATTAGCTTTAAATCACTTCAACTATAAATGATTTTAGTTGAGAAGTGTAGTTTTGCTAAATTAGCATTCATTTGCATTTCTTCTGACATGCTTTCATTAAAATGGTTCAATAACTTGGAATCAAGAGCRAGTTCAAGAACTGCTTGTATGCTCATTCTAACATAATGGCATAAAGCTTTTATCAGCTTTGGAATACTCAGWAGATGAAGTGGGTTTGAAGTCTCTTAAAACATCTCTGATACACAGAGAAGGCATAGGCTCGTAAGAATTTTTTTTTTTTTTTTGGAAACTGTTGCTGTTTCATTTGCTGTGTTCTCTTTAAAAGATTATCCAAAATCAGTTGAGCATGCTTTATGGATAAAATTATGGTTTATAAACAGGAAAAATAAATGGTTTGTCAAAATCCTAGTTTGCCTTCAAAACTGGTTCTGGATGCTAAAACCTGGGTGAGTAAGGGAAGTCAGATCTAGATTCAGCTAACCAAGTTTTTATAGAAATCTAAATATTCAATGTATTGGGAAGTTTCAGGAGGAGACACACGAAACATCTGCTTGTAAAGTTGTTATACTTGCCAATATTTTACTACTAGCAAACAGAAAATAGGTGAAAACTGTTGGAACCTTGGGTGAGTTTTTTGAGTGGCACTGTTTACGCTGAAATCAGTAATTGTTGCTGATGTCCTTAGGTTACAATAATGATGATAGGATTATCCTTCTGTTTGCTGGAAGGGAATTATTTGGGGTCTAGTAATTGACTTTGCAATAGTGCCTAAGTGGTAATGGAAAAGAAAGGGATTCTCAGACTGTAGCAGTTCTCAGAAACATCAGAAGGATCTCCTACTGAGACAATGTATAAGCCCAAGATGAAGTGTCTTTGTGATGCTTTGATAGAACAAAGGGATCTTTATTAATAGCATTTCATCTTGCTCAATTGTACTGTCCATTCARCAAGCATACAAAGAGCCCTGGTAGGACAGTAATGGGTGACTTACCCAGAGTATTTTAGTCGGTTCCCTACTGTCTCAGTTTGCACTGATGTCTTTTCAGCAGTGTATTTTGTGTGAAGGATATGAATTTTCTCTACATTTTGTCTCAGTACCTATATGTTTAAATATTTATATGTGAGAGAGGGAGGGAGATGGGAAAAATGAAACTAGTGTCTCTGTGCCTTCATTAAGGCCATTTAAAATGGACTGTTGGAAATGATCTGCTGCATTCTTAGAGTAATAGAAAAATATTGCAGACTTTTATTTAAATTACCTTCTTGCTATTTGCAGAAAATGTGTATCACACATTTTCTGTTTCCATTTAGCYAAAACATTCTCAGATACTTAATATGCTGTGTAATACCAAACAATAGAATTGATTTGAAGTGCATCAAGTGTCAGCTGCATAGACATTCATATGTTGCCCTGTAGATGCCTCTCTTTTTTCATAATAGTGTCTTGTTCATTTAGGAGAGAATCAGTCTGCCTTGTCTCATAATTCCATAGCCCAGAACTACATCTTTATGAAATAATCTGTAATAYAATATACACGGACCCCCAGAATGCCCTTTCTGTCTATTACATTATCCATTATATGTAGGGCTTCTTAACAAGTAAATAGTAATGCTTCAYATAAAGAGATGCTTTGATGTAACTCTCTTCTGTGTATTCTGTAAACAAAAMGCTTACTTGAAGTAGACTTTTGACTCCATCTCTGAAGCTGTCAGCTGCCACTGCTGCATAAAAGGCTTTTCTTTTGTTCTTTGTGAGCCAGGCCTGCTTTTTTTCCATGCCACTGTTCATCTCCTTAACACACAGTTTGCGTGGTCCCTGCATGATACAGTAAAATATTGTTAAGAAGGCATTATGTTGTACATCACAGAGTGATTTTGAAGGAGTTACCTAGTTTGCTGTGGGAGCAAATGGAGAGAGTCAGAAAAATACCATTCCAAAAAGGATCCACAGTGATTCAGCCCTTTGAAAAGAACTGTGCTGCAAACATAATTCACATTCTGTTTGGTAGGGCTGAGGCTGTTAGTGCTACTTAAATGCAGTGATTCTGACAGAAATGGACTACTATGGATTGTAACATCTTAAAAAAATCTAAGCTATGATAAAGAATCTCACAGTGAATAAAGGCCCTCCCTGACTTGACTATGTAAAARAGTCTCAGCACATCTAAATATTCATGGTTAAGTTCCTATCTACTGACATAAGAGAAWAGAGTAGATGCAATACAATTAAAATATAACTTCAAAGACTTTAAACTGGCATCAAAATGCCTTTGTTGCCAGTTTTCTTTCAGTGGTCATCACATAATTTAATGGGAAAAAACTTACATGCATATCCAAGTCACAAGACATGGGTATAACTTAAGAAGAATTTGAACCTGGCTGTATGAAGAGCTGGGAATAATAACTTGACCTATGAGRCTGAAGTTTCATTGTGAGTAAGGAGAAGAGAAAAACAAGTTTTGCCTTTCTTCCCTGGGTCTCGAAGGAAAGCACCTGAAGGTGGTTTTGCAATGGCTTGCACAACATGTTTCTGCTGGCCTAGGGGCCAGTCCCACCCGTCTACCGGGTAACACAGTGTCCTCCTCTGCCCCTCCTTTGTATCTGTGTAATGTTTGTGCAATTGTACAAGGAGGCCAGTGAATTTTTAGGCTGAGGTCTAACCATGAAAAACATTTTGCGTGAATGTAGGGAGTAAAGACAGAAATAGTATCTTTTACTAGAAACTCAGACTGTTTAAACCAWCATGCAGCCATAAACTCAG